CACTACGTTTGCCTTGGGGGTGGGGGGGTGGTGCGCCTTAAAGGGGCCGCCCGCCCCCCAAAACCACCGCTCTCCCCCCCAAAATGTCCTCCTTCACCCCAGTAACACCTCCACCACCTCCAGGAGCGCTCTCTACCAAGAACTACTCATCTTGGGCTAGAACCGAAGCACAAATCCTCCCGGCCTCCCCCACACCTGCAGGCCCGACCCATTAACCCGAGAAACTCTGGTCAACACCAAATATTGAGAATTTAGGCACTGCAGAAATTTACTTCAGCAAAGTTTGGTGAGGAAAAAATTTTCCTGTTTCATATCCAATCCTTTTTCCAATTATATATGACATACATATGACCCTAAACAAAAGCTTCTTCTGTCAAGTTTAAAGGGATGCCCACAAAGACACTTCTTTGGGAAGGTTTTAGGTCAGCGTAGGTACACGGTTGTTCTCAGTGTCCCTCGAGGAGCTGAGCTAGAACTCCAGTACGGGCGACACGCTTTCCAAACTTCCAAGGGGGAGTTGTAAAAGTACCCGAGGCGGGGGAGGGGAAGAGCTGTGTTCAGATTAAAAACACTTTCCTTGGCACTTCCAGATTGTCAGTTCAGCTGCTGGTGGATGTTATGGCAAACCCATTCATTGAACTAGCAAGACTCGTGTCAGAGCTCCTCCTGGGTGAAAACACGGCCCTGGAACGGCTTTCCTTTTGTATAGCATTTCCTATGCTGTCACAGGTTTCCTGTGCCGTCGTCTGCGTTTCTTGGCTACGTTCGTTTCCTGTGGGAGATGGAAGCCGGGATCCTGCGCTGGAAAACACAGTCCATCGTACTGCTTGCTATAAGGCAACGAAACTGGACAGTTCCTCGGTCCCAAACTGCAAGGCTGCCTTTGCTTGGCCACACTGTGCTCACACGCGAGCTCCTGTCGATGCGCACGTGCCTTGTCACACCTGCCGTCCTTGGCAGAGCTGGAGTTTCTGAAAGAAAATTTAGGTAACTCATCTCTATGGCCAAGCTGTCCAGGAGAATTCAATCCCATTCAATCTCTCCCAGGCTGTACGTTCTTGCAGCTCCCACACCATCTAGTGAAAACCAATAACCCACTAGGATGTGGATATAAAGGGCCTTTCCACTGGTACAAGAAGGACCAGGCAGGAGCTGCAGTGGCAGTATCACAGCCAGGACATTTGTCAGAGTCAAGAGAAAGCTATTTACCTGCATCCACTGTTCCCCTGCCATCTTTGCTGAGAAGGGAGGAGCCTAAGAAGAGAAAGAGAAGTTCCTGCTTCACTATAAGCAAAAAGCTCTCTTACTTGGCACCCAATTCAAAGGAAGTGCTTTCTTCCCCTGAAATATCTTAAGAGCATTCCAGCCCCAACAGGGTCGAGCACCAGCACGGTCAGTTAAGCTGTTCCGCAACTACAGGCACGAACACTGTGGTCAGAGGCAAAGCGCTTTGCTTGCGCTGCTGCAGACACAAGGAACGCTTCAACATTGATATGTAAGCCCTAGACAAGCCTCAAGGAGCTTTTTCCTCCCTGCAGAGCTGGCGAGGAAATAGGTGCTTTCTTGCACGTAGACAAGTCGCAGCTTATAAAAACACATTCAAGTTTCTTAACATAAGAGAACAGCTCTTTTTGTTCCATCTGTTCAGCTGTACGGTACGCACAGAAGCGAGAAGCAAAAACCTACCTGGGCATTGCTAACGGGAATTGTTCTGAATGATGCAGATGTTCAGCCACCAGCTGCCTTTCAGTATTTTGTATAGCACCTCTTCCTTTGAAGGAGTCAGAGCCCAAGCGCTTTACATCGCAGTTCCTTAAACACAACTCTGTTAGTCTCGCCTGGGTCCTCAAGCCATTCGCCAAGTGATCACAACAGCTCTTTTACATATAAATCCACCCCCCCTTTGCATCACTCCTCCACTAAAAAGGGGACGGCAGCAGGCCTGTGAAAAGTCTGTGCAGAAGATCTTTAAACACAGGTCTCCTAACTGCCCACCTTCTTCCTTATCCACCGGCCTGTTCTACCTCAAGCAGGAGGAGCCAGGAAAGTTTAGCCTGTACCAGTCACTTGAAAACAACTTTCAATTAGCACGTGCACCCCCCCCATGCACACAAAAAGACTTACTTCTTTGCAGATCTCTTTCTAAGATCTTCAATATAGTTCATTCTCTCTATAGGGTGCCCTCGAGCTCTGTTGAACACTGGAGAGAGAAGAGCTGAGTTTTAACAATGCTCTGTACAAGAGATCTTTGGGGCTGCCCAGCACTCAAAACCTTCCAGAAGGATTTTAACCCCTTCAACCAATGGCTCTGCTCACGTTAGAGAGGCAAAGGGCAGGCATGCCACAAGTTGACTCAATACACCGTATGCCTCCCTTTACAGGGCAGCCTGCGACAAGGCAGAGGCGTAGGCTATAGCAAGGCAGAGCTACAGGGTGGCACTGTCCACTTTGTGACTCAGTGCAAAAGACCAAGGTCCGCTCCGTTCTGGCTAGTTCCACGCTCCTGTGGCAGGAGCCTAAACTTAATGCCTTATTTCAATTCACTTCAAAGAACCCCTTAACAGCTCTGCTTTTCCAGCTCCCATTCTACATTACAGGAAACCATAAGCGAACACTAATACATGAGCTACAGTTACTCCACTGGAGCTAGCCCAAATCCTTTGACCATCTAGCCACAAGCCGATGATAAACATTTTGCATCGTAACAAGATGATGATACGTATACGTACACTCTATTGCAGTATTTGGCTCCATGCCGTCAACATCAATCAGGTACCTGAACAGAGCAGCAAGAAAACTCCAATTACAGAACTAGCTACAGAAACATTGACAGGTTAGAGACAATTCAAAATCTCACAGGAAGTTTTTAGATCTTCTATTTACATGCCAAAATGGAGTATCTGCCCTTGGCTGGCTGGAATCGGAGATAAAAAGAGACTCCTAACAACAAAGTCTTCTTGGAGATTATAAGGTTTAAATCCTTGCCAGTCTGAGATTATGCAGGCCACCTGACTCTTGTTTTATGGTGCAATAAGATTTCCTTCTGGAGCCATAAGAAGCTGCTCATGCCACCACCTAACCCAGTTTGACTAAGGACAACTCACCTACAAACCAGGTAGCCAGTTCTGTTTAAGCCATGCGTGCAATGCACTCCAATAAGTTTATCTGTAACACATAATAATCAGGTTATATTTTTAAAGTGCTCTTTTTCCAAAAGCCAACCAGAAAACAAGCCTGATAATCACATTCGTCAGCCAACAACCACACCCAAGTACATAAACAGACATGGTTATGCAACAAGATCACCATATTTACAACCATTTATCACCGCTGATTTAGCTCATTAAGTCCTGTGACCTCATCTGTGTGGTCACACAACTCTCCGAGAGCAAGATACATTTATGAAGTGCATAAAAGGATATTCCACTTGTTTCTTGACCATAAATGGCTCAGTGCTTTAGGCAACAGCTAAAGAGGAATCGATATTTACAGCCAATATAGAGATGAAGTCTCAAACTCCATTAAAGCTCAACGCACTGCCAAATTATCAGAGCCAGGATGAATCTCTCCACCATAAAAAAAGTGATGTTACCGCCTCGATAGTCATATGCCAAGGGGAGGAAAAAAAATTCACCTGGACCAGCACAGAGGAGCTGCTCACAAGGCTACTACAGAACCTCCCTGATCTCTAAGTCAGCAGCACCCTTCCCATCAACACGGCTCAATAACGCAAGGGAAATCCACGCTTACCATTATCTTTGTTGTCTCTCAAGAAGTTTTTTACAACACAATTGAACTGAAAAACAGTTTGATTATTTGGTATTTCACGTCCCATCGTCAAGATCTTTGAGTAGCCGAGCGTGGCTGGTAGCTCCTACGAGAAACAAAGGAGTCCGATAACTTCTGCAAAAAGCGTAAGGATTTTGACCAACTAAAGAATCACACGGCGCAAGTTAGAAAGTCAAGCTTTTAAACTCAGCCCAAAAGAACAGCAACAGGGTTTTAGGCAAGAAAACTTCTACTTTGACTATCTGCAACATCAGGGCTTCAACAGAACTCCGCTTCCTGAGTTCTGGACAAGGACTGACCTCTGGCCCATAGTAGCGAGTCGTGTATGTTAGATCAATGATCAGGCCCAGCTCTTCCTTTTGCTCCTTGATTTTCTTAAGGAGGTCACGAGGTGAAAATCTCTCTTGTGGATGAAGATTCTGATTGAAGCTCTGAGAAGAAATAAAGTTTAACAGCATACATTAAATTCAGGTGCAGTGACCAAGGGGAGATACAGACTAACACATAAGTCACACCAAACCAAACCTGAATGTGCTCTGGGCCTTTACTGATTTAGGACCGTTCAGCTGCAATTTTAAGACTGGAACTGGAACTACATTGGCAGCTGAAGGCTGTACACAGACTGCTCAGGGATCCCAAGAGCGACTAAAGCCTCCATGCTGTGGCAAACCACCACAGCATCACAAACACTACAAGCAAATGAAGTTTTAGCTTGGTTTTCAACTCAAATTGAAGTGAATAAACAGCCCTGCTCCCTGCCAAAAGCTCTGTAATCCAATCCACCATGTTTTAGGAGTAGCTGCTATCCTTAGAAGAAACACAAAAAACATAAAAAACCCAAAATAGCACAGCTACCTCTAACACACAGTGGATACGTTGACGTGGCAGGGTGCGGGCTGGCTGGCTGGCCCTGGGCATGCACGCAGCAGCAGCACAACACCCCTCAGACCCTTCTTTTCGGAAACTCTGGCTTGGCACCCTGTCCACACGGCCGCGGCGCTGGCAGAGCTCGCTGCTGCCACGCAGACGGCCTGAAGAGACCTCCTCGGACCCGAACCGGCCTCGTCCCCCAGGAGACGCTTCCCCTCACCTCCAGCGCGTAAACGCCGCTGCGACAGCTTCACGCAGGCGGTCTGCTCGCCTAGGCGAGACCACGCTGTGCTTCCTTCTCCCCCCGAGTTACAGCCCTCCGCAAACCGGCCTGCGCCGCGCTCCTGCCCTCCCTTCCGACAGGATTTGCCCACCGACTCGTAGCGCAGTTCTTCCAACAGCCGCTTCCCAGCCCGGACGCGCCCC